GCCTTATGCTTTATGCGCTATGCAAGATCTACAGAACGAGAAGTGGGGGTGGAAATAAGGGACTCTGATTGGTTGATTCGCTTATACATTATGCCTTATGCGTTATGCAACTGTGCTGCGGCCTTTAAGCGGGGAGCACAGATTCTTGCATAACGCATAACACATGAGACATAAGAAATTGAACCAATCAGAGTTCTTTATTTCATAGAAAGGAGGGAAATGAAGGACTTCGATTGGTACATTTTTTTTTATGCATTACGTGTTATGCGTTATGCAAGAGTCTGTGCTCGCCGCTATACTCGTGTTTTTAAGAACTCTGATTCCTACTGATATCATGATACTTGTTGAATATGGATTTCAGGATTAAAGTTGTGTGTTAAGTGCTTAAATAATTCTATGTGAATTTATATCTAGCGCAACTCAACAGCTCGCATAAGGATATATCCACACAAACTTGCATAGCCGCATAAAAGTATGCATAAAGAAAATTATCCAATCCCATATCTCCTATAAAGACGCACGTAAAATGTGATTGGATAATTTTCTTTATGCATACGTTTGTGCGGCTATTCAAATTTGTGTGGATATATCCTAAAGGAGCACGGTATAGTGTCTTGCGCCACGTCTTAGCGCCGAGACACGTGTCTCCAGATATTACATATGCAGTCATTTAAACTGCATGCCGAATTGATTTTTCGGACTTAAAAATGCAACTAAACTACCGTAGTAATAGCACAAATTAAATTGACAAGCAATTTAATAATTTCATGCTCAATGAGCATCCTTTAGAACAGGCCTGTCCAACTTTAGCTCCGAAGCCAAAACGCAGGGTCATCGATGCAAAAAATTCAATATAGGTAAGATTGTGGGAACTCTAAATTATTAATACGAGACGCATATCAATAATTTACAGTCCCCGAAATTTTATCCACATTGAATTTTTTTGTAATTTTTTGTAATTACAAAAATTGCAAATTCACTACAATATTTATAAATAATATTAAACTTATTGGACCGTGAATTATAAGTGAACACACAAAAAATAGAATATTTATTTATTAATTCTATTGATCAACATAATACCTAGTGAATTTTGCTCACTTTTGTATTTTTTATCTCACAAAATACAATCGATCTCCAGATCCGAGCTACACGTTGTTTTCTCGTTATTCGCGGTCAACGGACTGCGCACTTATAATAATCATATTCCAAGAAATTTAACCCTTCAACTCCTCCAAGTATGACTACAATGAGAGGCCGGAAACCTTGAAGGATCGAGAATAAACAAATGCAAAAGCTTATCCCTACTCCGTCATTCCTATGCAGTCATTCCTCTTCGTGACCTTTCGCGTCTCGTTTGAGTTATCGGAGGGGAAAAAAAAAAAAAAATCGTGAATAAAGAGGAGAGACGAAAGAGAAGAGCATTGACTTCAACGGAGGAGCCTTGAGGAAGACGGAACAGGAACTCGAGGGAACCAAGGCGATCCAGAATTTTTCGTTCGTCCATTCTGGCGATTCAATCTGAAGCGGCCTGGCAAAAATAAAAATTCAAGCATAAGTCGAATGTAGCGGAAGTGACAGAAGCGTAAACGAAGCTTCTGAGGCGAAAATTGAGACAACGAAACGTAAAAGAGATGTTTATGCACCTTTTACGTTTCGTTGTCTCAATTTTCGCCTCTTAGGAGCTTCGTTTACACTTCTG